CTTGGGTGAGTGTGCCACATATTCAATGGGGAATGCCAAAGCCACTGTACCCTGGGTGAGTGTGCCACATATTCAATGGGGAATGCCAAAGCCACTGTACCCTGGGTGAGTGTGCAACAGACTCAATAGGGAATGCCAAAGCCCCTGTACCCTGGGTGAGTGTGCCACATATTCAATGGGGAATGCCAAAGCCACTGTACCCTGGGTGAGTGTGCAACATATTCAATGGGGAATGCCAAAGCTCCTGTACCCTGGGTGAGTGTGCAACAGACTCAATGGGGAATGCCAAAGCCCCTGTACCCTGGGTGAGTGTGCAACATATTCAATGGGGAATGCCAAAGCCACTGTACCCTGGGTGAGTGTGCCACATATTCAATGGGGAATGCCAAAGCCCCTGTACCCTAGGTGAGTGTGCCACATATTCAATGGGAAAAGCCAAAGCCCCTGTACCCTAGGTGAGTGTGCCACATATTCAATGGGGAATGCCAAAGCCCCTGCACCCTGGGTGAGTGTGCCACATATTCAATGGGGAATTCCAAAGCCACTGTACCCTGGGTGAGTGTGCAACAGACTCAATGGGGCAGCCAAAGCCCCTGTACCCTGGGTGAGTGTGCCACATATTCAATAGGGAATGCCAAAGCCCCTGTACCCTAGGTGAGTGTGCCACATATTCAATGGGGCATCCAAAGCCCCTGTACCCTGGGTGAGTGTGCCACATATTCAATGGGGAATGCCAAAGCTCCTGTACCCTGGGTGAGTGTGCAACAGACTCAATGGGGAATGCCAAAGCCCCTGTACCCTGGGTGAGTGTGCAACAGACTCAATGGGGTAGCCAAAGCCCCTGTACCCTGGGTGAGTGTGCCACAGACTCAATGGGGTAGCCAAAGCCCCTGTACCCTGGGTGAGTGTGCAACAGATTCAATGGGGAAGCCAAAGCCCCTGTACCCTGGGTGAGTGTGCCACAGACTCGATGGGGAAGCCAAAGCCCCTGTACCCTGGGTGAGTGTGCCACATATTCAATGGGGAATGCCAAAGCCACTGTACCCTGGGTGAGTGTGCAACATATTCAATGGGGAATGCCAAAGCCCCTGTACCCTGGGTGAGTGTGCGACAGACTCAATGGGGAATGCTAAAGCCCCTGTACCCTGGGTGAGTGTGCAACATATTCAATGGGGAATGCCAAAGCCCCTGTACCCTGGGTGAGTGTGCAACAGACTCAATGGGGTAGCCAAAGCCCCTGTACCCTTGGTGAGTGTGCCACATATTCAATGGGGAATGCCAAAGCCACTGTACCCTGGATGAGTGTGCAACAGACTCAATAGGGAATGCCAAAGCCCCTGTACCCTTGGTGAGTGTGCCACATATTCAATGGGGAATGCCAAAGCCTCTGTACCCTGGGTGAGTGTGCGACAGACTCAATGGGGAATGCTAAAGCCCCTGTACCCTGGGTGAGTGTGCCACATATTCAATGGGGAATGCCAAAGCCACTGTACCCTGGGTGAGTGTGCAACATATTCAATGGGGAATGCCAAAGCCCCTGTACCCTGGGTGAGTGTGCAACAGACTCAATGGGGTAGCCAAAGCCCCTGTACCCTGAGTGAGTGTGCAACAGACTCAATGGGGAAGCCAAAGCCCCTGTACCCTGGGTGAGTGTGCAACAGACTCAATGGGAGAGACCAAAGCCCCTGTACCCTGGGTGAGTGTGCAACAGACTCAATGGGGAGACCAAAGCCCCTGTACCCTGGGTGAGTGTGCAACAGACTTAATGGGGAATGCCAAAACCCCTGTACCCTGGGTGAGTGTGCAACAGACTCAATGGGGAGACCAAAGCCCCTGTACCCTGGGCGAGTGTGCAACAGACTCAATGGGTAGACCAAAGCCCCTGTACCCTGGGTGAGTGTGCAACAGACTCAATGGGTAGACCAAAGCCCTTGTACCCTGGGTAAGTGTGCAGCAGACTCAATGGGTAGACCAAAGCCCCTGTACCCTGGGTGAGTGTGCAACAGACTCAATGGGGAGACCAAAGCCCCCTGTACCCTAGGTGAGTGTGCAACAGACTCAATGGGTAGACCAAAGCCCCTGTACCCTGGGTGAGTGTGCAACAGACTCAATGGGGAGACCAAAGCCCCTGTACCCTGGGTGAGTGTGCAACAGACTCAATGGGGAGACCAAAGCCACTATACTATACCCTATACTATACACATTGGGAAGTAATGTGCAGCATAAAATACATGTGAAAATAATGTGCAGCATAAAATACATGGGGAAATAATGTGCAGCATAAAATACATGGGGAAATAATGTGCAGCATAAAATACATGTGAAAATAATGTGCAGCATAAAACACATTGGGAAATAATGTGCAGCATAAAACACATGGGGAAATAATGTGCAGCATAAAACATATTGGGAAATAATGTGCAGGATAAAATACATTGGGAAATAATGTGGAAATAATGTGCAGCATAAAATACATGTGAAAATAATGTGCAGCATAAAACAC